TTGCTCCAGTCAGTTTCTCCCAGAACTATCCTCTCCCTTAGGAGCTAGCCAGATACATCGTATGTTTCGTCTGTACTGGGATGGATACCTTCAACTCTTCCGTACCTCAGTTCTTCTCTCGCTCCTCTCACCGTCCGTGTGTTTTTGGGCTTTGCCCTTTTCTCCCGTTCCATGGATTTTCCCCCACTGTCCCTTTCACCTCGGTCAACAAGACCGGGGCGTTGGTATGAAATCATGTGATGTTTGAATGGTTGAACAAGACCGGCTGGGTAGGGTACAAAGGTGAGTGAAAGAGTAGGTACCTAAAGTAAAAGGGGAGATGGAAGTGGGAAAGAACAAAATGCAAATTGCGTATTAATGCATTGCTGCGTTTTGTTCTCCCTGTTGTGTCGTTGCGTGTACTGTACTGTACTGTACTGACTGTATTCGGAATTTGACATCCATGATCCAGGACTAAATACATTGTTAAAATGAAGTTTAGTAATATCATGATCCGTCCATATTACTACCAAAAACCCTTCTGAGTTGTGAGCAAGCAAGTACCAAACCATGTACTGTACCAAACATGCATGAGAAACAAAGTCATCCCTTATTTTCAGAAAGACGCAAAAACAAGCCAACCAACCAAACACCGCATCTGAGCCCCAAGCAGAAACATCTGAACTTGAACTTGAACATCAAAAAACCAATTTGCATTCGCATTTTGCATATTGCGCCGTTGTAATAACCAAATCAAATCAAATCGCATATGATCCCTCCGACCGATCCATCTCATACGGACCAACCTCAGACCTGGCGATACCTGTTCAAACCTAGACTCCTTCGTTTGGTCGCAGCAGTGCAGCAAATGTGCCGTGCGGGAAGAAAACAATGCGGAAAATCGCGTAGTCGCGTGAATAATAAAAGTTTTAAGTAACACAAATAAGTAATAAAAAGAAACACAAACGAGCGGACGAACGTCCATCAAAGAAGATTGTAAGGTAATAGTGGAACCAGGCCTGGCCATCGATGATGATGAGGATGAGGATGAGGATGACATGGTATAAAGCAGCAAGCAGCACAAACAACGCGCGCGCAAGCGATCAAGTAAGTCAAAAGAGAAACTGAAAGAAAAATTGAAAGAAAAGCAAAGTTTGTAAAAGTAGTAACAAAAAGACAAAGAATACCAAAGTGTCCCGGGCGAGTCCCATCATTTGACTGGCAAAAAATGGGTGGTATAAAAATATTGACCATCGATCGACCCCGGTTCCAATCCGCCATATCCTGTCCTATCCTATCCCCATAAGAAAACCTCTAGAATGTCCAGACAAGAGCCTTGAAGAGAGATGACCACACACAAGAATGCCAACCAAGCATGCTGACCCTTCGTGAACGTTGATTCCTCCTTGGAGAAACAATGATTCCATCGTATTCTTCGTTCCTCCATTCTTTTTTCCGAGCACAATCGTTTCCACCAGAATCATCGCTGACGAGCGAAATTAGAGAAAAAGTGGTATGTTGAGATCCGAAGAGCGTGTAAGATCGGACGCAACTGAAGGGAAGAAATACCAAGTGATATACCCAGAAGCAAGAAGCCAAGCCAGCCAGCTCCAAAAGCCGCGACTCATCGTCTCCATGAAACGCCTCAATGCATTTTGTCCATAACAAAATAATGCGCCTGCCGATGCCAGAAACCCCGGCCCGCACGGAGTCAGGGAGAACCAGAAGGTTAGGCGGAATTCTACTCCGTCGATCCGATCTCGCCACCATCCAGAAACACGCCGGCATTAAAGTCGAAAGGCTCTCCACCGTTGTCGTTGTCATGCAAGAACGAGTCAAAATCAAAATCGTTCAGAACATCATTTGACGTGAGTGGGTTGGCAAACTCAACATCGAAGTTCTGTAGTTTGGCTTGTTAGCGTCCTCCCGCTGGACGGAACACAAGGGTTCTGGACTTACCATCATGGGCTCGTTGAAATTGTTCTGGGCCGGGTCGGGGTGTGGCGGAGCGGCAACCTGAGGAACAGAGGGCGGCGGCACCGGGGCCGCGGGCTGTCCGTTCTGTACAACTTGGTTTCCAACTTGATTCTTCCCAAAGCTAGCTGGGTTGACGGGGGTAATCGGGGTGGCCGGCGCGGGAGGCTCTTGCGGCTGGTCGGCATCGGCAGCAGGAGTAGCACCTGCGTTAAGGTTCTGATTGGACTTCTTCTGCGTGGCAGCCTAAACCGGATCAGAATTGCAACTCAACAAAGGATGAAGGATTGGTTAGAAAGGGGGGATTCCGTACCTTGTTCTTAGCATTCTTAGTCTCCTTCTTCTTGGGTGCTGGCTTGTTGCCCTGGTTGGGGGTTGGAGGAGCAGCATTGGCGACTTGAGGAGACGATGTTGCATTCCTCGAGTTGGCAGCGTTGGTCATCGCTGCCGCCGTTGGGGGAGCAGAAGGCGGGGGCATAGCTCTCTGTTGCGCTGCCCCTTGAGGCTGCTGACCTTGAGGAGGCTGACCAACCATCTGGCCATTTGGCCCAGGTTGCTGCCACTGCATATTAGGGGCCCCTTGGTTTTGCTGCTGTTGGGCTGCCTGTTGCTGTTGCGCTTGTTGCGCTTGTTGCTGTTGTTGTTGCGCTTGCTGCTGAGCCTGTTGTTGCATTTGTGCTTGACGCTGCTGTTGGGCAGCCACCATCTGTGGGTTCATCTGGCCGTTGAAGGGCTGTCCTGGATGCGAGCTCGGTGGACGCATACCGCCTCCCATCTGATTGCCCATGTTCATGTTCATTCCGTAATGGGGCTGTCCGCCGTTAGGATCCATGTTGCCGCCCATGAAGTTCATGGGATTCGGAGAACCGCGGTTCTGGGCGCCATCCGGAAGAGGGGAGCCCATGTTCTGGGGGTTGTTCATTTGCTGGTTGGCACGCTTCATCTGCTCTGAAGGGTTAGGTGAAGCTCCGTTGCGCTGCCCAGGTGGCGAGTTGCCTTGAAAGCCTTGGGGATTCGGTCCCTGAGGTCCTCCGGGGCCGCCAGGTCCGCCTGGAACGTTGGGACCTTCAGGTCGTGGCATCCCATCCTGTTCCTGTCGAGCCATCATGAGGCGCTTCTTGTTTTGTTGTTCCAGGAGCATCAGCTGCATCTGGTAGTCCTGAAGGGCGTGGTTACTTGACCCATTCTGGCCATTACCAGGCCCAGCTCGCATGCCGTTTCCGCCACCCATCTCCTGGTTGTAAAAATGGCTGATGTTCTGGCCGTCGGGTCCCTGCGGCAGCATGGGAGAGCCCTGGTTTTGCGGACCACCAGCATTCGCCATCGGGTTGGTAGGCATCTGTTTACCGTGGTGCTGCTGGAGGTTAGCGGCGTACGCTTTGAGCTGATGAGAATTTGGATTGGCATTGATCAAGGCCTGAAGTTGGTTAGGAGTTAACGAGTTTGGGCGGATTTGGTTGATGAAAAATGCTTGTGCTGAATTGGGGCCACCTCCTACCTGCTGCTGGCCTGGCATGCCTTGCATCTGTCGGCCGTTTTGCACTATGACACCCGCGTTGGGGTTGAAGGGGGCCCCCTCGAGACGTGGCCGCTTGGATGGAGACGGCGCGTTGTCCGCCGATCCTGGCGACGCCGCCCTCACTCGGTTACCGTCCATATCAGAAGGATCTCGCTGCATCTGAGCAGCTTTCTGTGCCTGGAGCATCTGCATGGCTTGGGGACTGGAAAGTGGAACAAGGGTCAGTTTTGAACAAACGACAAGAGCAACGGATGTGGAACCTACTTTTGGCTGTTGGCCAGGGCTGCCCGTTGCAGCTGGTTTCCGGGCTTCATCATGCCACCCATGCCATTCATGTTCCTCATCATTTGCTGTTGATACTGGGCCTGGGCGTACTCAGGACGCATTTGCCGCAACATATGCTCCTGACGCATGCGGGCCTGGGTCTAGGGTCGTTGTTAGCAAGGGAACGAATTACCACATCAAAGAAGCCACTTCTTACCTGGTTGTGTTGCACGTATTGGTTCACAATAAGAGGGCCCTTGCTCTTTTGGCTGTTGAACATGTCCCAGAACAGCGAGAACCAGTCAAGCAAAAAGCTATTGTTGCTTGTCGAGGAGTTGGGAATGGCTGCTGGGGGCAGGTCTTCGGGACGCTTTTGGTCGAGGTTGTCCTTGGAGTCGGTATCCATGGGATCGTCGCCCAGGCCATTCAAGTTCTGACCAGGGCTCCCAGACTTGTCCGTCTTGATCTGAGGGTTGGTTTGCAGCATTGTGCGGGCACAGTCGTACATGCCTTGACGGAGGAAGTAATCGTAGATGTAAGTCTCGAGCAACGAACGGCCACCATCGATAGATCCAGCCCCGAACTGCATTTGCTGTGGCTGCTGTTGTTGTTGTTGCTGTTGGGGTTGTGGGGGCTGCTGGGGACGAGCGGGCATTGTGCCATTATTCATCATGGGCATAGGGGCGCCGCCAACGGGACCGCCCATGGCGTTCATCTGAGCCATGTTACCTATATTGTTCATGTTCATGGCTGATGGTCTGGTGCAGACGACGGTCTGCCGGGCGAGAAGCGGGATTCGCAGGGGTCGAAAGCAATGAAGTCAGGTCGTGTGTAACGACGGGAGCCTAGGAGCATTAAGAAGAGTTAGTTTCCAAGTCCATGTGATATGATGACATCTGGAGAGGGTTCGGCGCGCAAGGACGAGCTTGCCACCAAGTGCCTACGAGTGCCACGGCCGCGCAGTACGCCTAGACCCGGCAGGCGGTGGGTGGACGTGAATCGAGATCGGGTAAAGTGATGGCAAGGTGATTGCTGGGTGGTAAATCAATGGCGTCGAAGAGGTGATGCGGTGGTAGCAACAGGGGAGAAGTCAACGGCGCCGACACGACGGCAACGATGACGATGGTACGGCACGCGTTGGGGATAGAAGGCAGGCAGACAGGGGCAGGCTGGTAAGAGCGTGGTCACGTACCTTGATACAGGCGGGGGAGCCTGGAGTGTTGGCGCAGCAAGAAGCGTGTTCGGTGCCAATTAGAGGGACGTTGGACAGGGCAAGAAAAAAGTACGGTAGCCGTAGCCGGAAGGGCGAAGTAGTCTAGAAGAGTGTTCTAGCTGAAAGTCGGGTGAGGTGCAGACGGGGGACAGCAATTGGCAGCGACCGAATCGGGGGCTGGGCGACCGCGGTGAGATGTTCCGGGGGTTTGAAAGTAGTGTGTGGCCGGAAGATGGACGTGGGTGCGGCGGTGGATGGTCGGTCTCTGTTGCACGATCCCTTTTTCTTGGTGAGCTTCTGCGTGCGTGGGTGAGAAAAAGGTCAGAGGGACGAGGCGTCAGGTCGATTCTGGAGGAAGAGGATGTGGGTGCGGGTGTTTTATATATGAGAGGAGAAATGCTGCAAGGCGCCAGAACACGGGCTTATATTTGCAAGTAGGTAGGCTTCTACTTGCCAGCCTTGGGTCCGTAGATGTACCGGCGCACTGGCGCCTGATGGGAGAACGGGGGAGGTTCAAGCAATATGGTAGCGTAGGTAACTAATAAAAGGTATGGTACCTTTTGAGATTTCGAGATCGCGTTTTGACGAGCGAGATCCCCGGTGTCCCGTTTGAAGTGGAAGGTCGCTACTCGGTGTCCAAGGCGAGGTGCAAAGGCGAAGAAACAGCCGGATCTCAGTCAAGGCTGGATCTTGATCAAGAAAAGATCGCGACGGTGGCGATGTTGGTTGGTTGGCGGTGATGGGTTCCAAGACAATGGTGGGCGTCGGGGAACGGCAAGGCTTCAAGTTGCGCGTAGGGTCACTGCACTCCCGCTTTCCCAAGGATCCAACAGCCTTGGTCGTGTTAGAGAGGTGAGGTAGAGGTGATGCCGATTATTTGCCAGTCGTTCCACCGAAGAGTGTGTGCGGCGGTATACGTGGTGCCGTGTCGTGGCGTAGAGAGAGTAAGTGTAGTCGTGGTCGTGGTCACGCCGCCTTGTTGCGAGGAGTGGACGTCGAGGTCAAAAGGCAAGGTGGTGGTGGTGGTGGTGGTCGAAGAAAGCAAGTTGGAGAGAGGTGGTAGTAATGATGATCCGGTCCACGTCGCAACAGGAAAGCTGGAGCGTGCAAGTGCTAAGTTGTAAGTAAGTCGTAGGGATGGAGGAGGACGGGAAATGGGGGAACGGGGTCCGGGCAAGGCCACAGTGGTGGTGGTGGTGGTAGGTGCTCGTGGTCCTCTTCAGGGCTCAGGCGGCGGCGGGCTCTCGCTGGTCTCGGGGCCGGCGACCGTGGTTCCTCTTGTGGGCCAGTCCGGTCAATCTCGCTGGTGGTCGGGACAACGGCGATTGGGACATCAAAGTGGCATGCCGCAAAAGAGGAGAGCTTCCGACACGAAATACAACGGTCGGAGGAGGCAGGAGAGAAGGAGGGAAGTTCGGGGACGGGGGTTGGGATTTTTGGGACTTTTTTGCCGGCTGCGCTGCCTTCTGCTCAGTGCTCACGCCAAATCGTATTGGAATTTGGGGGGAAGTGGAAGCAGCCAGGAGACTGGGGGGGGGATGGGTGATTGGGGAACCGCGAGTTGGGAGACCGAGCTTCACCAGCCTGCGCAGCCAGGAGAACGCAATTGCACCAGACTTAGTCTTGGCAGGCGTAGAATTCAGACCGTCTCACGTGATGCCTCGTTATTCAGGCAAATAAGGCACTCTTGCAGCTGGAATATGCACCTATGCAGCAAATGACGGCTTGGCGCCCCTGTATCTGCGACCAATCCTCCCACTTCGGGATATTGCGCTTCCACCGTTCTAGCCGTCGAATATTCATGAGATGACAGTCCTCATCATCGTCATCATCACCATCATCATCGAGATGGCCGATGCGAACGACATTTCCAGGTGCCATCTCTCACACAACGAAGTACTTTTGACCGTCACCGTCATTTAATCTGATTGTTTTGCGCAAACTAATCGAGTGGGAAATCCGCCATTCTGTCGCTTTCAAACCGTCTCTCCACGCAACGACCCACTGATCTGAGCGAGAGGCCCGAGAACCTCAGATAGGTACACGTAGACATGGTAGCTCTCCAAGTTGAAGCTATGGTGTCACAGCGGATGTCTGGTTGGATCAAAACTTCCAACTTCACCTTTTCCGGCCTTTGTCAACGACACTTTCTTTGCGCCTGGTGTGTAGTGTTTGACGGCACACTTGTCGTTGGTTCTGTGTTTTTGAACCAACTGGACTGGACATGGCTGGTGCAGGTCAACTCGTACCTAACCTAACAGTGACACCTTTTCCGATATCCGAAAGCTCCGGGAATCCCCAGGCTTCTGTTGTGGCTCCCAGCCATAACAATCCCAACCCATGCCCCTCCTCGGCGATTGTACAAACAGTCAAGAGTGAAGAGGACCGTATCTGAGCGATTACCAATTATCTAGCTATTGACGTGCGCAAGTGAGATGACTAGCAGGTTGTCATCCACATGGCATGCGACGCGACATAGGTAGTTCGATAGTGTATGGCGTCGGACAAGGCGATCAAGACTTTGATGCCACGTTTGGCAGGGATCCGACGCCATATGGTTGGCTCAGAACATGTTGGGCACTTTTGACTCCCGGATAATCATGACGAGAAGGCATACCAAACCTTTATTGAAGCCCGACTGCCCCGTCTTCCTCGGTATGATTCATTGATCACTCGAAATCACTGAGATCGACTATCAAAATCATTGGTCGTCACCTCGTGTATTCTCTGAGCTCAACTGTGGCCTGTACCTGATCAGCAAGCGGACAGGAGGTTGGGCTGCATTATAGAACAGACAGCCCCGTCCCGATTCTTCCATGATTCCAAAACTTCCATATCTTCGCTCTGTAACACCCGACGATATGGATCTGCCCAGGACACATTCCACACACAAGAAGGTTGGCTGACCGATCAACCATGTCTGGACATCGATCAGATATATCGCCATTGCCGAAGGTCCTTCCCTCTCGCTCCATTGGGAAATCATAGACTTGATAGGTCATGAGGAAGAAACATACGCAGTGAAAGTGAAAAAACGAAAATAAATCCACAAAATTGGCATGCGTCCAGACCGTTAAGTGCAAGGCGGTGATATCATCTCCCAAGAGGCGACATCGCGATAAGCATTGGCGTCGTCGTTGTGGGCTCTCCAAATCTCCACAGGGTCCTGTCTTGCGCGCTAACAACAGCAGGCGATCTGCTGGAAGGGTGTGGCAGATCCAAACGCCAACGCTGACACCAACAACGGCCGCCAACCCTCAACCGACCCTAACCCGGGTACTGTTCTCGAGTCTGTCAATCTACCAAATCTGATGAAATGCATCATAAAAAACCGTGGGACTCAAGATACTTGCTATAAAAGATGAATATAAAGCTGTGCAATAGAAATAAAGTAGCACCAAACGCATCCTCCAGATTGCTGCCATCACGACGGGAGCCTTATCAATCTGGCTGTCATGTCGCGATGCGTCGCTGCCGCTGCCGCAGGCCAATCTCCAGGGGTTCTTCGTTAGTGCTGCCTGTCACGGCTTGTCGTGTGGGGACCGCAGCTTCGGGAAGTCTCAGGGTTGTGGCTGCCAGAAACTGATCTGCTCGCCAGGGTTGCAGCAGAACGGGATGTCAGACCGATCAAATGATACCGCAAGCATCAGTTCTTAACAATCTTCAGTAGTATGTTTGTCAAAATCTGTTAGCGAACCCAGCAGTACAGATCATGCCCGTATGTACTTCTCCCCAATCCTTCGGCCCACCCGTCACCGTCATCCCGTCTTGCCTTTTCGTTTCCTTCACAGTTCCATCCATTGGCAATCAACCTCCAGGCAGTTAGGCAGTCCAAGAAAAGTGTCGTAGGTGGCGAACAACCTATCTCTTTTTCCTCCCCGAGCTCCCATTCTCGATCGAAATGATAAGCTCTCGAAGCACCACAAGTCAATGCAACGAGCGTGCCTTGCATTAGTTACTTGCAACAATACACGCTACAGCTGGGGGCGTCGTTCGTGGATTTTCTTGGATCACGCCGGCTTGCTTTTGCGCAGAAAGCCTCATTGCGGCCCCTGCGTTTCTACTGTGTACGCAGTAGAACTAGTCGGACGTTGCGTTGTCAAATATCATGAAATTTATCGCTTCTTCAAGGAGGGGCAACCGCAGGACTTACTAGCATAGAATATCAACCCGCCAATGTCTTCAAATTACAACTCCATTTCCAGCTCTACGAACAACAACGCCAAGTCATGCCATTTTCAAAGAATGGAAGATTACCTACCCACGACTAGGCCCGCCTCGGAAATATCAAGGTACGAATGTAAGCACGAACTGCTGGCACTGCCCTATCTTAGCGAAGCAGAGGAGCCTACCATGGCCGCCATGACAATGATCTACGGCGCCATGCAGCAAGCGTTCGGTTCTCCTCTCCTGCCCGCCCACCCGCTTCGGTCTCATTCGATCCAGCCCAGCCACCGGCCGGGTCAGCGACCAAGCAAGCCCGCGATCCACACAGTCCGTTGCAATTTGGTTACGGATATGGAAAGGAGGGAAAGGGAACTACGTACCTATGGCGCGGCGGCTGGCTTGACGCCGTTAGACGCGGCAGCGGCAGTGGCAGGTGGGGAAGCGAAGGATCAATTGAAAGGATGCACAAGCGACATCGAGAAGGGAAGTGGGTACGGACCGCATTGATGATGACCTGTGAGTACGGAATCAATCGACACCCGTTCAACTCGCCGTCGACATCACAACTGCATTCTTCTTTTTCACATCTTCTAGTAGACCCCATCAATGGCTAACATCTTGCAAGCGCGGGCACATGTTGCTATCGCCCTCTAATTCTTCTCAACACCACACCAAAGTTCGAAACGACCTCCTCCTCATCGATTTGGACAATTTCCCCCGAAAACCAGGGCGGCAGATCGGCAGCTTTCAAGACATCAACCTCCAAAATCTTCAGCAATTTCGAGACATGCTCAACAAAACCTGGATCAAACGAAAGACAAAATGCCCCGCGATCGTTGCCGATTTCCAACCACACTCTGAAAGACGGGACCCTCGATCAGCCCCGGCACACTTTCGGGCGGTTCATCGGCTGGTAGGCAGGGGCAGGGGCAGGGATCGCCTTGGCGAGAATAGGAGGGAACAAGAGGGTTAGGGTTGGCTAGGGTGCGCTAACAATTACACTAACAATTACCCCTGAATTGGCGACGATGATGGCTGATGAGGTCGTCGACGACTAACACCGAGGCTCAACATCAAAAGTCAAGCTGTGGGATTTGATGGTCCTTACCATAATGTTTTGCGCCTCAGAAATATACTTTTCAAGACTTTTGGTCACTTGAAACCTCATGAGGCGAAGTTATGGCCGAGTGTCCCGTCTGCACCCCGTTCTCACCCGCACCTGCCCTCCCGGGCACAGCATGCTGGACAAAGCAGGGCAGGTGCCAACGACGACCAACAGCCAACAGCTCAAACACAACTGCACGTCACCAACATCACACAAATTTGAGCAGAGTTTTCTTGTCCTGATTCCTTCAGTTCCTCGCCGATTTCGCTACCAATCCTCTTCTTCTTCTTCTTCCCACCAACAAGCTATCAACCTTGGAATTCTCCTTTCCCCTTTCCCCTTCTCTCTCGCCTTTCTTTCCCTCTCCTTCAATATTTCCAACTCCCACTCTCCCCTCTTCGCGGAATTTTTCCTCTCTCCCCAACCTTGACACCGCAGTCTTCATGCTCGCGTGTCATTCTCATACACTCTCAACATTAGGTTCCTCCCCATCGTAACACCCACACTCGCACCATTCCTTATTCAACCCTCTCAACTCTTCCACCCTAGCCCGCGGTACCATCCTCTCGTACAAAAATGGCGTAAACCCCCCTTCCCCCGGCTGGTTATAGCCGTGCAAGGGGTTTTGTATGCCCCAGTGGAAAGTAACACCATCTGCTTTGTTCTTTGCGAGTTTCTGCAATCCTTGTTCGAGTTCTTGGATGTTGACCAAGACCAGATCTTTTTCCTCGGGTGTAGCCTTAAAGATGGTCACCTGACAAGACTTAACGAGGCGTCTGATCCGATAGACCGTGGCATCGATGTTGTTGCGTTCGCCGTCGGATGATTTCCACTCTTGTGCTTCGTCGTCTCTAAGGTATTCCAGGAACCCTGAGAATACGTCAACGGTTAAAAACAGCGGAATATCCCTCCGTTCTCCCCGTTAGGTCCGCAGTGCGGCTTGATCCCCTTCTGCACGTGGGCAAGAATCGCGGGGTTGCTTTCGAAGGGGAGGTATCCTTTCAGGGGGACGGCAACTGGCTTCTCTGGCTCACAGAAGTCCCACTCGCCATCTGAACCTAAACCTGAGCTTGAGTCCAAGTCGACTGGAGACGGCTGTAACTCGGGTTGGGGTTTAGGCCAGGAGACGAGGCCTTGAAGGTAGAGACTGTCTTTGTTGATAACTTTGGAGCCTTGGGTGGGAGTGGCTTCGTCGGGGTGGAGAATGTAAATGGAGAAGTTGATCTTGCAGTGTTCCTGCTGTCAGTGATGAAAAATGGATGTTAGTCGGTGCTTTTGGTATTCACAAGGGACATGACTGAGCCGTGGGAGGTTGTGGGTGGAGGTCAATACTTGCTTTTGAGGAGAGAAAGGTGAGGGCGGCTGGTTGGGACGCCATTTTCGTTGTTGTTCTTGTTAGTTCTGGTGAGGTAAGTTACTACAGCAAAATTGATGGTTGAGGTTTTGGGAGCGACAGAACTGCTGACTTCGCAGCTGCTTATATCTTCAAATTTGGAAGATCATTCGCCCCACAAACGAACAATATCTTCTCGTCACCTTAACCTATGTTCGATCATGGTTGTCATCGTGACGGTGAAGGGAACAATCGGCATGAAGGTGAAAATGGACGTAAAGGTGAAGGTACGCCATCATGAATCTTATTGCAAAGAAGAAGAACCATCCATTCAGCCTGATCAAATCTAGAGTACAGCACAGGGTTCAAATTCTGCTCGGGGTACAGGACTGAAGACGATCTCCACTCGAAAACTGTTTCGTCTTGGTAATTATCTCTCCAAGGAGCCATAGCCCATGCCTGCTCAGCTTTCAGGACCTTCACTTCAGGGTTCCCAAACGAAGGTGCCGCGTCCTGAAGCCTGGACATGAATTCCCACAAATTGGAATCCGAGCCGCCACGATACTGACTGGAGGCGCATATCATCTATTATAAACTGACAAAGTGCGCCAGGGTTGCTCGCTTTGCCGGTTTACATGGGTGCCCCTGAGTATCCAACATGACAATGTTCTTAGTGGTGCTTTTCCTCGTATCGATAGTACAAAGGAGCGGGTGGTCAAGTATATACCCAATACTGTGTTGGTTCTCAAGATTTTTCCGAGCGCTGATCATGTTTTTCTACTTCTTTGTAGCCCGTTTCGCGTTGTTGGACCACACGGTCCAGATGATGTTTCTGGCGGTGACAATGAAGAAACCGCTGATAAAGCCGGGATTCCTTGGAGATCGCCATACGTGGGTCGTACCTGTCTTCCAGGTTGAGAGTCCAGATAACTTCGCTCTTGTAGAGGTCGTACTTGATGAGGTAAGTGTTGCCCGACATCTCAGTGTCGCGGAGCTCTTCAGCGCCGCGTCTGGTGGCGAGAAAGATCCAGTAGTCCGTATAGAAGTCCCAGTGCATGCCCGAGATCTGGTAATCTTCTTTGGCGGTGAGATCTGGGAATTCGATGCCGTGGACGACATGGCCGCCGTAGGGCTGCCGCGGTGATTGCAGCGTTCCCGTCTGCGTGCCCGGAGTTGGGTGATTTGACGACTTGTTCCTTCTCCTTGAGTACTGGGTAGTAGCTACCCAACGCAATCTTCCCTGGAACTACTGGCAAGTGCAACCAGCGGAAGGAGCGTCCGAGTCTCCAGTTTATGCGCCAGTCACGGCACGTAGTTTCGACGAAAATTTCAGGTGTGCATTTCTGGATTTTATTTCCCAAATTCTTCCAGTCTCGAAGTACATCATTCTCCCGTCAATCCCATCCCGTCCCTGAAGATGTCACAAATTCTCTTTCGCCATAAGGCTATACCAAGCTTTCCTTCCCCTTTTCCCTTCTTGTGCCTTGATCTCGAAACACGACAAGCCCTTTCAAAGTTTTCGCGCCTTCACATTTCGCGCTTTAGTACCCTCCTTTACCATATATCCCCATTTCTACTGATCCTCCTCGTACGGAAATCCCTCCTCTACCCATACAAACGGTACCACCGCCCCCCACACTCACAGCTCCATTTATTCAAGTTTTTCTTCCTCAACATCTCCACCCTTGTTCTAGGAATCATCTCCCGGAACACATCTCGCGTCAACACCCGTTCAGGTCCCTTAAAACTGTGTAGGGGGTTGTGCAAGCCCCAGTAAAACTTCACTCCCAGCTCTGGCCATGTTTTCATGGTGCGGGTGAGAGCCTGTTCGAGTTCTTGGATGTTGACTATCTTCACACCTTTGACATTGGTCGTAGGATCGTTAGGGTTCGGGACGGCTTTTATGTTGGCGATAGTTACTTCACTTGTGGTAATGATGTTTTCGATGCGATCGATGGCGGAGTCGATGACCCGGTTTCTTTCACTGGCTAACATTCGCTCCTGCTGGAGTCTGGCTTTGGTCCTGGTATCTTGGGAAAAGATATCCTCGTCTTCTTCGAAATAATCCCAGGGGTCTTCGAAATCATCCACATCTTCGAGGTTGAGCTCTGGCAGAGGAACGGGGTACTTCGCAAAATCTGGATAGACATCAATGGTTAGAATGATCGGGTTGTGCGGGTCCAAAGATTTTTGGACGTGAGTGAGGATCGCAGGGTTGGTTTGGAAGGGGAGATAGAGTGGAGGAAATAAGGGTAAGGTGGTGGCAGAAGATGAAGAGCCGAGAGTGGAAGGGAAATAGGGGTCCGGCTCCAAATCGGAATCTGGGTCGTCGTCACAGTTTGAAACGGATTTTGGCCACGATACGAGGCCTGTACAACCCAGTCCGTCTTTGTGAATTGCCTGGAAACCGTCGGTTGGTTTCATTGGGTGTGGACGGAGAATTTAGATGAGGAAGTCGACGATTTTGTAATGTTCTTGCTGTTGGCGGCGAGAGACAGGTCAGTTGGCGCACCATCTTCTTTTTGTGGCATCGGCTGGTTGGTAGTTCAGGTTGGAACTTACCTTTGAGGAGAGAATAGGCAGTTGGCTTGGCTGAGCCGCCCTTGCTCGGGCTCTGTTGGTTAATTCGACGCGAATAAGTGTCATTGTGACAAAGGGGCGCTTGTGCTAGCACTATCGGGTCAATTGAAGAAGTAGAATTGGCAAGATGGGGTTCGAGGTCGAGGGAAGAGGATGGGCTGTGACAAGGGCAGGTTTCTGA